TAAACAGAGCCTCGTCTGAAACAAGTGAACCTGCAGGGAAGAGGAGCTCAGGTAAGATTGCCTGATCCACCATGTTTTCCTGGACACTAGGCTTGTGCATGAACATAATCAACCTTCAGTGGCTGTCCCCTAACCATCAGCCATCTTTTTTTCTCATCAATCAGCTATCTTTTTTTCTTTTGTGCCACGGACAGAACTCCAAATTAAGATACAAATAAAACTGTTCGTCCATTGTCTGTTTAGTGTGTTTAGTGGTCCATCCATTTTGGACTTACGGAAATCAGACGATCACCTAAAATTAGTACGAATTGCAATTTATTTGAAACCAAATTAACAAGTATACTGCATACATCTTTTCTTTATGTTCATGCAAATCACATGACATTTTTTGCTCTTTAGTATGCAGTAATTACTTTGTTACAATCCTACAACATTTGAAATTTTCATAATGCAGAAGAACACTCATTTTGTGAGATAGATAGATGGATGGATAGATAAATAACATGGTGAAATGGCAGAGAGTTGGTGCAATGTAGTTTAACTATGTCTAGTAAAAATGTTCAAAATGGATCTGTTCATGCCACTGCATTTGATCTACTTTACAGAGCATCCTGGATGAAGCTCTGGTGCATGGGACATCTATGCGGCTACACTGTACTCCCAAGTAGAAAATTATATGGGGTGTTAGCTTTTTTCATTCACTATTATGTACATTTGCTAGTTTTGGGGTAGACTGTATAGAGGCATGCATTGGTCCCATGTGGCTCTATGCCAGCCCTGTCTGATGTCCCATATAATTGGTAGTCTTCATGTGGGGGGCACTCATAAACAAACGCCCTGTTTTTTTAATGACACTTATAAATAACACAATATGCAAGGGGCTAAATTAATTCTTGAAAGTTGGCCTTAAACTATAAAATATTGTTTATTTCAAAGTGTAACACTGATACTGACATGTTTGGCTTACATGATGTATTGAATAGCCTCTCACCCATGTTTCTAAAAAAAGTGCCAGGTGACGTTGCTTGTTCCTAAGCACTGTTTATGCATCTCTGCTACTATAATTACCTGTGTAATTGTCTACCTGAGGGCAAGAAGGGCAGGGCTTAGCCACACACAGCGTCTTGAGTGATTTATCAGAACACAGAACAGAATACTTTCGACACCCTATTCTTTATGCTTTCTATTCATTACTATCATGGCGGACAGTCACAGTGCTGCATGTAGCAGGAAGGTAAGAAATGCAATGTAAATTTATTGGGGAGTTTTAGAAGTGAAGAATTTAAAAAGCCCTTGCTGTGTTAGGTGTGAAAGAAACACAACGCATTCCTATAGCAACAATGTTTGTACAGCAGGTGCAGTATTCTTAATGTATGACAACATTCAAAGCCCAAGTTATGGTGATACCAAACAGTGTTTTGAGACAATGAGACTATGTTTTGAAACAATGAGACTAATGCAAATGTCACTATTTATTTTATAATATAGTATAGGGATAGTCTATTATATTACTCAAGATTTAGAGATATGCCTGAAAAACAGAAAATATAATATAATAGCAGGACTTGAAAAGAGGCCACCTAAAATCTATCCTATATTAAAGGCTCAGCATATGCTTAATATGTAGTTTTTATAAAAAAAAAAAAATCTTGCAATGTATTTAGTGTGTATAGGACATGACTGATTGGCATTTTACTGCTTTTAGAGAAAGCAGATATTGGGAGAGGCAGAACACACTTTCCATACTCTGACCTCATAATCATTTTCAGATTTGCGTATTAAGTTTTAGAAAACAGTTAAGTTGGAATCACAGTCAACAACCAAAAAATGCACAGATTAGTATAAACAAACAGCAACTCTTATACATTGCAGCTTTATCATTGGAAGTGTTCCGGGATATCATGTAATGTTAATATTTACCTAATCTGTAAGGCTGTTTTTTTTATTTATTTTTTTTTTTTTTCTTTGGTAGTAAGTAAAATAATAAATTGAAATTTTAAAATAAAAACGTGCCAAGAAACTTTGGATGCTTTCACTACTTTTTGTAAGAGTATTGTCATCTCACCTATTGGACATGGAATTTTCCTTTGGCTTTTTTTTTTTTTTTATTGATTATCAATAGAGTTTTATTGTTTAATATTGAAAAAACAAGAAACTAAAGAAAAAATAAATAATAATAATAGGCGTGTGTTCCTAATATGAGTTAGTGAAAATAGTAGAAAAATAAACTAATAAAATATAACCTTTATTGGGACGGATCGTTGCTGAACCCCCATGGGCTGGCCCCGGGAAAGGGGGAAGGAGAACTGAGGGAAACTCTGAAGGGGAGATGCCACAGACAAGGGCATGGCGGCAAACCGGTTGCGGAGGCAGCACCCACTCAGAACATTAGAGGAATCTCCCCCCCACTCTGCCCCCTTTTTTTTTTTCTTCTCTCTTCTTCATCGCCAGGTCTTCTCCTTCCTCCATCCTCTCTCACTTGCCAACAACCCACTCCCCTCCTACCATTCTCACCCAATATCTACCACCTACACACAATCGGTTGAAAGCTGCTCTGCAGTAGTAGGGGAGGTGGAAAGCAACTAGCTCGGAGGGGGCCATTTTTCAACAGCCACTAAATTTTCAGGGAGTACACCTAGCCAGTCACGGCAGATGACAACCAGGCGCCAGTGAACATCACATTGACATCTCATAGGCACTTAAACACCAAACCGACAAGTTAAGCACCACAACCAACGAGACTGAACATGCCTAACTCAACCCTACATTGATGGTATAAGTGTCTAATGCTCCCCTGAACAGGGCCCCGACAGTACCACTACCTAAAACAAATACTTACAAACGCAGTTTACCCTCTCTGTGGAACTACCATAGCAAGGAACGCAGTCTGATGCAATGTAACGCTATCAGAGGCACACTTCAAGTTCCATAACCCGACACGTTATCTGGTTCAGAAATTAGATGTTTAAGTTATTGTATATATTTCTCAATTATCTCGGCTAGGATTGGAGTGATGATACACAAAATACAGATAACGATTGTCAAAGGGAAAAAGGAAAGGAGAGGAAGGAATGAAAAAGAAGGGGTGGGGGAATAAGTAAGGCCTGGTTCATCACAGAGAGGTATGCCATCACTCACGTATATGCTAACGTAGATATGTTTGTGCTAACGCTTACCTCCTTGACCGACTTTTCTAGTACCTAAAATACAGTTTTCCTTTCAGTATAGACAGGTACACCTAACTGGTTTAACTTAATCTTTACTTATATTCTATAACTCACAAAAATTAGGTATGTAATGTTTATTCAATGTATATTTATGCACGATGTACGCTTCTCTTTAATGCCTCATTATATTGATTCACTGTACTCTGTTGAACCTACCACAATAAAAAACAGATTAACAAAAAAAAATTATAACCTTTATTGTATTATTTAAAAAAAAAAAATATAGGACAAAATTATTAAAAATATAATGCATAAAGCCCTGTCCTCCCTAGATGTAGAAATGGTAAGATAATATGATAAGTATCAGTACTAGAATAATAAAGTTAATAGATATAATAACTAACCGGTGTATTTTTGGTAACAATGTATACCTAGTATCAGTGTTACTAAGACAGCTTCATAGCCAAAGGTGAGGAAAAAGATAATAGAAAGACTAATTATCCTATCTACTCGAGAGAGAGTATCTAATGTGTCTTTGAGGGCACCCCTTAAAAAATATACTGCTCTATTACTGAGCCCCCACTCATGGGCGTCCGCAGGAATTTTTCCAGGGGGGGGGCATAATTGTAATGACATCCATGCTTGGTACCTTTTTGACAGTGTCATGAAAGGGAAGGGGCATAGCCATTATCACATAAAGCCAGGGTGAATAGCGTTTTCACAACTATGGTGTCAGGAATATATGTTTAAAGTGTTCCTTTAAGCAAATTAAAGGACATTTCTGGTCACCATAACAACTTCATCTAAATGAAAATGCTATGATGCCAGGAAGCCCCTGGGTGCTCGCTTTCCTTTAAGGGGTTAAATCACTCTCAAATGGTTTAACCCCAAAGGCTTCCTCCAGCTCCAGGTCGCTCAGTGGTATTTGGCTTCTGAAACAGAGTGTCAGGAAGTGCAGATTGACGTCAGGCATGGGTGCCGCTGATTGGCTAGAGTGGTCAGTTGACGCTCTAAGCCAATCGCTAGTTCCCGGTTCATAAAATATTTTTACTTTTTTATGAATGGGGAGCTACTGATTGGCTTAGAGTGCCAGCTGACCGCTCTAGCCAATCAGCAACACCCCTACCCAACGGCACTCTGTGCTTCCTGACACTCAGTAAATAAAAGTGAACACATTAACACCAATATTTTTTTACCTTTGGAGATGAGAAGGTCCAGCGTTTCCCTGCCAGGCACTTTACCTTTGTGCTCCTTCTGATTCTTTCTGCTCCTTTACCTTTGTGCTCCTTGCTGTCCCTTTGTGTTCCTTCCTGCTCCTTGCAGGCCCTTCCTGCTCATTCTCCTACTTTATGTTTGTGCTCCTTCTGCCCCTTCCAGCTCATTTCTGACCCTTTCTGCTCCTTCTACTTTACCTTTGTGCTGCTTTACCTTCCAGCTCCTTGCTGACCCTTCCTGTTCATTTCTATATATCTATAGGCTGCTGCCCCCCAAAATCTATGGGCTGCTGCCCCCCTCCCCAAATCTATGGGCTGCTGCCCCCCTCCCCAAATCTATGGGCTGCTGCCCCCAAATCTAAAGGCTGCTGCCCCCCCAAATCTATGGGCTGCTGCCCCCAAATCTATAGGCTGCTGCCCCCCTCCCCAAATCTATGGGATGCTCTCCCCCCCCCCAAATCTATGGGCTGCTGCCCCCAAGT